GAAAAGAAATAAAAGAACAGATTCGCTTTTTCGTTTGTTTTATAAATAACCAAGTTTGTATAGTGCCTTTTTATTTATTTAAATGTTAACTAATCTAGATTTTAATAAAGTTTAATAAAAAAGTGTGTATTTTTGTCATTAAATCTCAGTATTCGCATTCAACTATCGAAAGTCATGCCAAATCGCAATGTTTTGATTTCCTTCTGGCACTCCAATCAGTTGGTTGCAGCTTCAATCCAACCAAGCGCCTGAACCAATCGGCGAACATTTATGTCACTAGCAACCAATCAGAAGCTTGAACCATGACGGAATCATTATAATTAAAATGAACGCGAACTGACTGCGATCCTCATGTGTTAATTCCACTCAATTTTCTGACAGTCAAACGCGGATACTCGATTGTTTTGGTCGGTGAGCGTGCGGTTGTGATAGATGATATGAAAAACACGAAAAATTGGTACATTGTTGTTTTGTGACCGCATTAAAAACAGGATTTTTCTCCGTTCAAAGGTGAGTTAGAGGGTCAAACAGACTTTCGATTTATAGCTCTATTATTCCAAAGGATGCAGAAATTTAAAATTTAGAGCTGCGGTCTGATGTTGGTTTAAGTTGGTCATAGATCTAGGAGCTCTTTCAGAGGAAATCTGAATCCAAGCTGAAGATAATGGGGGTTTGCACTATTTGCAAGGATAAACCAGATGGAAACTAAATAATTCCTGATTAAAAACTATTTAGCAAGTCAATTGGACAATTTCTCATTAGTGTGGATATTCCTGCAGGAAGTTGATTTATAGGCCATAGGCATAGTAAAAAGCCATTCCTGATCTCTATCTGACAGTAAAAAACGATTCTTTGTTTGTATAAAAAACTGATAAAAATGCGGCCGGTTAACATCTGGCCTTGTTTCGCCATGTTTATGAGATTTTCACACGCTTCGTCTATTTTAGTAGTTTGGTTTGTTGAAAAAGCGCAATATATGCTCGTTTTCATTATGCCCATCGCGTCCCAAGTTTACAAACATTCAACGAATTATTTTCAATGAACCACTACAAGGTCCGCATCATAAACCACATATTCAACTAGGAAATGCAAATTTATCTTAAATGAGTAATCGGCAATTATTCGGAGTAAACCGCGATTTTATGCATGAAAACAGTGATGTAATGCCGCTTTGAGTGATCATTCATAGCGTCATTAACTCGCACGATTAGCCCGAGGAGACTTGTGGTCTGTTCGCTTTAATTAAAAACATTTTTTTACTTACATTTTTCCATGCGAACAAACATTTCTATTAATATCGTATTGTTTGCCATCATTTTTCATTGCAAAGCGCAGCTTACAGTCCATAGAGGCATTTGAAAAATGCTACATTCAACCCTGACATTTTCAGGTTAAGTATAGGTAAAACACCAAGGGCTTTAGAACTTGAAACAGAGTGTATGCCTCATTCTACGTCACCTATAGACTCTATTGCAGTTTACCACTTTGAAAGGAGTTATATATATAATCGCCAATGAAATCCGTCAAATAACAATTAAATCCGATAAAATAAAATTTAAATTGACAGATAACCGTCTAGCTGATAAAGGAAAAGAGGGAAATCGGCATAGCAATGCTCTAGACCGAAATGGACATATTTAATTTGAAACTTTGGTCCTAATAAATGCGCGAAAATAGATCACCTTCTTGATTTATGCAGTACAAGACTCTGGTTTTTAATTAGGAATGGATAAGCAATTAATAAGAACTTGTTGACAGATTTTACATTCTGTCACTTCTATTTCATCAATTGTAGGAGACATACCTGTACCATCAGAATGTTTGTTAAAGTTGGAAAACATTTATAATTTTAATAGGCTCAATGCCAGAATTGAATTACATTTTTTTATCTACTCATAGCTCGCTTCAATTGGCTATTACAATGGCTAATTGTCTATCAATCAAATTGGCAATGACATCGAGTACCCCTTTATTTGATTCTACGCAAAAAATCGATATTTTTTCAAGTCGTTTTCATAATACCTAATGATAAAAGTCGGCAATTTATTGTTTCTCAAAGGGTGTCAAATTCTGTTCACCTTTTATCATTTACGCATGTAATAAACAATCGCAATTTTCTCTTGAAGCTGTTGCTCCCAAAAAATCGTACTGAATCATTCTGAAAGTGAACTTTATTAGAAACCAAACTCGGCGACAAACCAAAGTTTACGACGAATTAGACTATTAAACTTTAGACTTTTCCGCAGTAATTAAAAGAAAACGGCCTCTTAAAGCCCGTGTCCCATGCATCCTTTTGTACGATGATACGATGGTACGAAAGTGTTTCTATTGGTTGGAGATCTGTCAGTTCGTACGACGACGGACGAATTGACATACCTCCAACCAATAGAAACACTTTCGTACAAACGGATGCATGGGACTCGGGCTTTACTACCCCCAAGCTAGTCCACTTTGACGTAAAAGTCCGTTGACCAACTGTCAACTTTGAAACGACAACAAACAGAGAAACAATCAATAGGAAAAACAATGATGCATATAGATGGCTTTAAGATTGGACTATAAAAGGCTGTGGAGAAATGGGCGGTGGGCAATTATGGGACAAGTGATTTTTTACGTTTTAATTTTGGGATAGCCTTCAATTCAATTCAATATTAGGAAAATCTCCAGATTGCCCTGCTTATCATCTACATGATAAATCTGCTTCAAGGCAAACAAACAGATTTATCAACATTTTCGTTGTTGTTTCTAGAACAACACAAACAACTGTTGGTTATGTCTACACGTGTAAAGGCGGAGACATTATTGTGAGTGTAGAGGCAAGTTGGCGCTGGAAATCGATGCAACAGAACCCTTTCCAAGCTCAGAGCCATTAGCGGGGCTCGTAAAATGGCAATAAAAATGTTAGATAAAAATTGTTTTAGCCTTGAAAGTGAACAATGGACGAAAATTAATGGCGCTACAAGGTTGCGCTTTTAGCGTATATTCTAATTCAATTATACCAACAACGTTCATTTGGAATAGCATTTAGGGCATAGAAGAATGCATCTGAATGATAACTTCTCTGGAAATGGCAATCCATTCCAAATTACTTACTTTAACGCGATTTTCGGGGTATCAATGGAATTTCCTCGTGTTGCTTTCGACGAACTTAATCGATTTGCAATACTATTGATAAATTTGTTGATTATTTGTAAATACTCACTGATAATGTGCAATCTAATATTCCTGATTGATTTACACGGTAAACGCAACTCAATAGTTTTTCCTCCTCAAATTTATCGACAATTGCTCTTTGCCCTTCAATTAATTAACGATTTCTTAATTGTACGCGCACCGTTCTATAAAGATGTGTTAAAAATCTTCACACCTTTCAGAATTAATCGGCGGATCAACCTTCGCGAAGAAGGTTGAAGAGGAAGATTTTTTACATTTTGATAAATGAAGAGCCATTAGAATTTTTATTGAAAACAAACATTTGTTTTGGTAATTTGTTTAGTAACAATAATAGATAGTAATTAATGACTGGAATGCGTCCTTGCTTGCGTGGTTTTAAGTGTGTGCGCGTATTCTTTGCTTGTGAAGGTTCGATTTCAGGAAGAATGTGTTTTCAATATATTGGTTTTGCATATTTTAGCATTTTAAACTGAGGAAAAAACCTCTTTCAAAGTGCCGCTTGATAAACAACATTCAAAATCCTCACTTTTGTTCGGGAACTTTCTCTGCCATCGTTTTTCTTTTGGTGACTTGTCAATCTGTGGGGAATATTGTGGATTTAATGGAAGAATACTAGCAAAACCTACGAACTTTATTATAAAAACAAGCCTAACAATAGGGTGTTTTCACTTTTTTTTT